CTACATATCCAAATCAAGTCAAGGCTCCTTGATAAGGGCATAAACTATCTACATATCCAAATCAAATCAAGGCTCCTTGATACGAGCATAAACTATCTACATATCCAAATCAAGTGAAGGCTCCTTGATACGAGCGTAAACTATCTACAATTTCAAGTCAAATTATCCTTCAGCATGAGTTTAAACTGCATATATTTCTCCTTGTCCACATGAGTATAAACTGTGCATGACATCCCTCAAAAGGATATATTTTGAACTACGTTATGACTTGATCCCTTTATAGGGTACGCAGGGCAACTTACAATTTCTCTAAGTTCAGTCATGATTTCAAAGGATATATGTGCTTTGCTAGATCAAGCTGCAATTGAAGTTGAGCAATTATCGAGACTCATTCACTCCAAGACGCATTGTCCGTGAACAAGTCTCGAGGGGGCATTTGTAGACGCATAAAATTAATTAATTGTTTAATTAAATTAGCCAATTAAATTGTGTTTAAATTAAATTATAATTTATCTTGCAAAATAAGTTATGAAGATAATTATCAATTAATTATTGGCCAATAGGATTATTTCTTCTCTTCCAAGTTATAAGAGATAAATATCAATTTAAAGAGAGCCAATCAAATCGCGCCACGTCATCAAGAAGACTTTAAGTAGGACTCTTACTCTACCACTAAAAATAGGGACCCTCCCTACACAATTCAAAAGACAACTCAAGAAGAAGAAAAATCGTAGGAGAAAATCTCTCTGCAATATTCAAGTCGTTCTTCATCAAACTCAAGACGTTTTTCATCAAATCGAGTGCGTTCTTCAACAAATCAAGATCGAAGGAACATTGAAGGGCCAAATCCATCAAGAATTCCAAGATCTTCAAGTCAAAACCCGTCAAAGTTCAACAAATCAAGATCGAAGGAAGATTGAAGGGCCAAATTCATCAAGAACTCCAAGATCTTCAAGTCAAAACCCGTCAAAGTTCTGCGTTCGATCCGAGATTCAAGTCGCAAGACCCTCGGAAGACGTTATTCAAACCCAAATCAAATCCGGAGAAGATCAAGTCAACGACCCGACTCCGAAATTCAAAGTCAAACGCATATTGTTCTTGAGAGAAGAATCAGAGGATTAAATTAGAGTTTGTAACCCGCAATATTTATTTTTAATTCAATAAAATTATTTTTGTACAAGTTTTTCTTGTTTGTCTAAATCGCAAATAAGAATTTGTTGCTACAAGACCCTATTGAATATAATTTTTTTTTAAATAAATAATTCTCCCACAGTTAAATATTAAATATATACTACAAAACAGAGAGTTGATTGTAAATTCTCGAATAAAATAGACAAAATGAAGTGGCAGCAGCAGTTAATTATTGAGGGTGGCCTTTTGTGGAAGCCTTTTTTAAAAGAGTAGTGATATCTAAAGAAGGCATTACTACTATCTTCAACACTTGATTACAATCATTCATTATCAATTTGAAACCTCACACACAAATATCAAACCTTGATAATTTTCAGCTTCTAATTCCTTCTGTTATCTTTTTTATAAGAACGATCACCCGATAAGGGTGGGAGGTTGGACTGGACCCCCGATCTGTCTATAGATCAAAAATCAATGAGTACATAAAGAGTTTCAGGTAATATTATACAACCCGAAAAATGACTAAAATAAAAACCTATGAAAAATAGAATAGTGCGGGCAAAACAGGAAACCCAAACTAACGAGAAGATAGAAGCATGAGAATGATCACAGAAAGCCTGAGAAAATCGAGCGAGTCCGTTCGCTTAGCTTCCCCACAACAGCCAAGGATACATGTTTAATAATATCAATTAGGGATAGATGAATTAAAGCTATACAAATTAACATATGGAAGTACACCCTTTGATCAAATTGCACAAGTCAGAAATACATAGTGGAACAAAACAGACACAGAGAAAAAAAAAATAATAATAGAAACACACCTTACTCTATTTAGAGCATCTCCAAAAGATGCTATACATGCTAAAAATTAGCAGATTTTACAAATTTTAATGAAAAGTAGAGCTCCAGCAGCTGTTTTATATTATACAACGCTTGGCATATTTTAAATTATGCTCGTCAAATTTGAAAGACGAGGAGGATGAAATGGCGAAATCCTCATCACTAGTACTATACTCCTACACAACAAAACCATTACAAATATTGAAAAAAACAAAATTGGACTAACTCCAAAATCACTCAGAAAACTCAACCTCTCACACTCTATTTTAAACAAGCATACACACAAAATCAATCCACCAAAGCTGAGATGATCAAAACTACTAGCTATTCTAATATATATATATATATATATATATATATATATATATATATATATATATATATATAAACTCACTAGTACGTAGTCAAACAGGAACACCACAAAGAGCAAAGTTGAAGAAGAGGTCTATATCTGGAGAAGCAAAGAAAGCGATCGAGGTTCTATTCAAAGAGCAATTTGTGACGATTCGCCTCTTCTTCGGCGCCGGTGGGCATGTTTCGATCTTCGGTATTCGATATCTTTCGGCCTTCGGTGTAGAACAAGGACTGCTACAATACATTAATTCTACGGAACTATTTTCAATTAGATCATCCACTTTCAACTTCGCAGGCGAAGAAACTGGCGAATTGTCTTGATTCTTCGAGTTTACAAGCTGCTGCTTCTTGAAAATGAGGGTTTTTCTTCTTCTTGCAGATGCTGATGATTTTCTTGTTCTTCTTCTACAAGCTGTTGGACCCATAATTTATTTATTTATTTAAAAAAAAATTGTGAGGGGATTAATGATATGATGGTGACAAAGTTGTTGTGGTGGTTTGTTTTTGTTTAAAAGTGGTAGTTAATGAAGTTTTGAGGCAAAACCTATTAACTGAAATCTTTTACCAATAGAAGCATAAATTGAAAGGGCTACAAAGAAAGTGTTGAAACAGAATTGCCATTAATTACTATAGAAATTATAACCTAACAAATCTTTTGACTGAAAAATATAAAGTAATAAAAAGTGGAGGGACAAAGAAAACTTAAAAGCAAGAAACTAAGGATTTTGGATCAAATAGACAAACTTACTACTAAATCAAAATAATTATTAAAAAAAAAAAGTTAGAATGCTGAAAAAGAAAACTGAAGAAAGCAAAACAAGAATGGCACGTACGAGCTAAAATTATTCTACGAAGAAGCAAATGGAGTTTAGAATGTAAGAGACGAGGTTTAATTTTAAGGAGAAGGTGGATTTATACAAGTATATATTTTTTTATCTTCTATTTAGTGTTACATAGGTTATACTTCATGAGTGAGAAGTGTATTTAAACCCCCTTTGTATTATATACGGAAATTGCCAACCGGGAAGGAAAAGATTCGGGCTGTCTGCCCACTGCCCGAAGGAGGGTTTTAATGATTAAGGATCCTTCAATTATGCAAAAAGCAGCAACTGTTTGTTTGTTAATTGCTGAATAAGATAGAAAAATAAAGGATGGACATTCAAATGAGTTTTGTCCTTATTGAGCCAAAAATTCAAAATGTTGGTTCACTTTTAGAATTCAAAATTTGAAGGCACATTTTCTTTTTTCCCCAAATTAAATACAAAATGGGGTATACCCAGATTGAACCTAACCCCTCACCCATTCTCTTCTTTTTAGATGCCATATGCTAATTATAAGGAAATTGACAAATTATATAGACAAATAATAAGAAAAGCCACTACACAAATTAGGGTTTATACTTGTGCTGCACGGGGTAAAATACACTGGGTATATATTTACTATTTATATACACTCAATCACAAACACACCACAATCGATGTGTAGAGCAACGGTAAAAAAATACGCGGTGTAACCTTCACACGGTGTAGCATAGAAAAGTAACCCTCAAATTAGTTACACGAGTCGATGCTTAGAAATACGAAGGAAAGGCTTAAAAGTTTATGAAAGCTTAGAAACTTGTTTAGATATATTCTCTAGAAAATAAGTAAACTCATTATGATTTTATTTTTTTGAAAAAATTATGATTTTATTAAAATTAGCCTAAATCAGAACATATTATATTCAAAAAAAAATTATTTGAGCTCTTAAAACATATTTTTTGGGTAAATTACAACTTCTCGTGAGGTAAAGTATATTTATGCAAAAATCCCTCAATTTTTATAATTACATCCACCTCTAGCAATATGTAGATTTCTTACATTAACATCCTTTAGTAGGGACATGGATGTAAGAAATTTACAAAGTGTATGGGGCTGAATGTAATTTCTCAAAAATAAGGGGTTATTTATATAATTATACTTTAGAGTGGATAGAAGATGAGTGGGAAAGTGACATCAGTTAGAGATTAATAGCACCATTAAAGCAATCTACAGACATAAAACTTAGGATACCCAAAAAAATAAGACAAATCTAAAATTTGAATTATTACCGTACAGCACGTGCATTTCAGTGTTTTCTCTTTAGCTTGGGTTGCATGTCTGCCGGCGGCGGCGGCTGCCACCGTGTACCTTAGTTTATTTTTCTAATATCAACCTTCTTCAGCACGTGTTTTAATTGGGTAAAACCTAACATAGATAACATAGTAAAATTATTGAACTTGTGGGTCTATTCCATACTATAAAATTACATGAAATGATTAACAATATATTTTTTCTCATCGCCCCTACAAAATTAATCACACGAGAGATATCTAATTCATTCAGTAAATACAAATTTTGTCAATCGAACGTTTCACTAGCCCCTACTATTTAGTCAACAAATTTTATTAATAGTACCCTCCCTCTGATTAATAGCGGCTAACGGAAGGGACAAAAGAAATGAAATAATATGATTTAGGATATGATTATTGTTAAATTTGAGACGTCATTTCAAAAATAACAATTTAAACCATTTTTTTAAGGAAAAATCGATATTATCGGGCAATAAACGCTCATTCGTGAGATAAAAAAGAATCCTCCATATTTGCAAAGTTTGGATAGCTCGCAATTATAGTTGCGATCCAAAGCGAGGACTCCCAATTGATCGATTGAATATAATCTAATCCAAATTAATCCGAAACATGTAACCGAACTGGAGTAAACATTACAAAATCGAAGTAATTTCAAAATGCCAAATAGTAATTCCATGGACAATTCAAACTATAAATTCATACCAACATGGCAATAAGAAACTCAAGCTAAACACCAAGCACAAGTTTCCTATGTTCTGTGACACTACTAGCAATATATTTTTATATCGTAACAAGAAACGAGGGCCCAAAAAAAAAAAAAAAATCACCGTCCTCTTGAGAGAGATTCGTTGAGATCTTCGGGCGACGATTGAAAGAGCTCTATGTAACGACTGCCAAGTGTCATCCTGTCCTTGGCCAAAGCTGCCTTTGCATCTTCTGCATTAGCAAACTCCACGAAAGCTTCTCCGGTGGGCCTACCTTCGTAATTGTAGGTTATGTGAATTGATTCTTCCGACAATTTGAAATTCTCGAAGAAATCGATTATGTCGTCCTTGCCAGCTGAAAACGGCAGCCCTCTCATTCGCAGTACTGGTGTGGGTTCACTTTCTTCGGCCCCTTCGAACGATCTTGACATTAACCTGATTAAAGTAAACTCATTAACTTCCGGTTTTAAAGTTCGTGTGCATATTTAATAGGACCGATTTAAGTTGTCGGGCAAGAGGTAATTCTGAAAAATCTGCTAATAGTTCAGTCAATCAGTCAAAGCTTCCACAGAATTCTCGTAAGATAAGTAGATAACTGATTTCTTCATCAGTAAAATATCATAACAACTATTCAGATAGGACCACGCTCGGGAAAAGCTTTTCCTTTTTTCGATCTTTTTCCCAATATGGAGCACTTAAGGATCTGTTTGGTTCATGGATTTTGCATTGACAAAAAAAAAATGAAAACAAAGAATTTGATATGTTTGGTTCTTAAGAAAAATGGTGATGAAATTGATTTTGTGGAATATCGTTTTCTTTACCCTAAGCAGACGCGTTTGTTGAATTTCTGCGACGGAGGTGACTAGTCCCATCATTGAGTGTTTTCTAGGACAGACAAATAAATTGACGAAAATAGAAAACCTGATAGAGTTTTACGTGTACTCGTGTAGCTTCCTAACGAAATAGGAAATCGATTTTACCTAGTTCTTTCGTCTTTTTTACTTACCATTTTCCTAAGTGAATCTCGTACTTGCAGCACGAGGACTTAAAGATGGAACCTTTATCATCTTGAAGGTCGCATACTAATTTCAAGATTTTATAACAGCTTTACTTATAGGGAAAGAGAATCCACGAGTTTGCGCAGGAGAAAGCTAATTTTAGATTAGATACGAAAGGTGGAATATGTACTTCGATAAGTTCACGTCTTTTATGTATCCCGATGGAAAACGACTTTGAAGTTTCATTTATATCGAGATTGGCATTCAGATACAACCATTATTACCTTCGATAAATCTTTCAAGGTAGCAATCTCTATTCTCTACCTTACATACAATAATTCTGTAATCATTATGCCTTCAGTAATTAGATACGACCCGAGTCTAGATTAATCACAGAAAACGGTGCTTTATAATCCATTTGAATTTAACAAACAACCTCGAAGTCACTGGAATCTGAAGATCTAATCAAGCAAGGACTAGTCGGTACAAAATTTTGACTCGTAAACTATATCTCATACAGCGTCGGCCAATGAAATTCTAATGTCCAAAATTTAATTCAAGTGTCACGAGTGGTGTGTGTGTGTGTGTGTGTGTGTGTGTGTGTGTGTGTGTGTGTGTGTGTGTGTGTGTGTGTGTGTTTAGTGCTGGCTTGTCGGGTTAAAGAAGGACAAAGACACAAGCAAGCATGGACCAAAGATACATATTTTTTGGTATACACAGCAGATAATAACATAACCTTCTATAAGTTATTAAATTGTAATAACGAGATATACAAGTACAGAATTTAAACCGATTTTGCAAAACAGAATAACAAGAAAACGAAAGGGTAGCAGAAAAACTCACCGCCCCTTTGAAGTAGCTTCCTCCAACTCCTCGCGCGAAGCAGGGAAAAGCTCGACATATCTACGTCCAAGTGTCATCCTATCCTTAGCCATCGCAGCTTTCGAATCCTCGGCGCTCGCAAACTCCACAAACGCTTCTCCAGCCGCCCTTCCCTCCGAATTAGCAATCAAATGAACCTTGTCTTCCGATATCTTGTAATCTTTAAAGAAGTTCACAACTTCCTCCTTGCTAGTAGAAAACGGCAACCCCCTCATCCTCAACACCCCTTTAAACTCCGACAAGTCCCTCTCCTCCAAAGATCTCGCCCTCGGGGGGGCGGCTGCACCACCACCGCCGCCGCCGCCACCACGACGAGGCGGCGAACCGCCAGGCGCATCGAGCACTTCGTTCGCTATAGCCTTATAGTACTCGTCTTTTCTGCTCCGGAAAACCTCAACGTATCTCCTGCCAATGTTCTGCCTATTCCTCTGTAAGGCGAAATCGATTTGTAGAGGGTACCCTAAAACGCAATAAGCTTCTCCGGTGAACTTGCCACTTTTATGAACAAAGAGGACATCGATTACGTCTAGACCGTGGAAAAAGTCAACGATTTCGGCCTCTGCGCAGTCAAACGGGAGGCCACGAAGACGTACGACGGGAAAAGGGGGTGGAACGTAAGAATACGTAGGGGGCGGTAGGGGTGGAGGGTCGTACATGTAATTCGGACCGTAATACGACGATCCATGATCCATCAATCGCTGGCGTTTCAATCCCATTTCTCGCGCATCACCACCATCCGCGTATTTACTACATAGCCAAAAAAACAAAGACATTCACTAGGTCAGCACTACACCTTTCTGGCACAAAAAAAAAAATGATGTCTCGTAAATCGTAATCGTTTTAACACGTAATGAGTCCGGAATTTCATCTGTAGCTACGGATTGAGTATGTAATTCTTACACCAGACAGATATATTTTTGCAAACAATGTTCAAACAACAAGAATCTAAGGAGCAATAGCATGCTAGAAAATGATTAATCAAACTTCTTGAAATATGAAATTTGTTATGGGGGATTAAGGGTATATTCCTAAAAATTAATCGAGCAAAGAAAACAATGAAAATAAATAATCAAAAAACAAACCCCCAAATTAGACTCGGAAAGAACAAGACAACAAAATGTGCAGAAACATAGTCAATCATCCTCGGCAAATTACGTTAGTTTGACATTAAATCAATCTGGATTTCTGAATACTTAATTGAGGGAAATTATAAAAAAAAAAATGACAAGAAAAGAGTTTTTTAAATTGATTCTTACCCTCTGTAGAACATTGTACCCACTGTCGGAAGGAAATTTGTTTGAAGGGTTTTTTGTGCTTAACAAAATCGGGTGATGTTCTGGAAATTTGGCTACCGTGCACGAGACAAATCGACGAGGGGAAGAGTTGGAAGCCCTTCTGGTGAAACGGTGTCGTATAAACTTTTGTTTATTGGATGTTTGATTTCACCTCTTTTTCAGTTTTTCTTTTTTTCTTTCCTGGTTAATTCGGTGTTATCTAATTAAGTAATTATCATTATGTATTTGATTCTCAAAAATAAAAAAATAAAAAAGAGAAAAAAGATTATCATTAGGGGAAAATTGCACGTCACCCCCTCTAAATTTCTTATTTTTCACTTTACCCCCTCAAGTATTTAAAAAGTGAATTGCCCCCCTTTAAAATATTATTCTTGTTGCACATTGCCCCGATAGCAAAATTTCGATGAGTTATTTCGTTGGAATTGAGTTTTCTTGTTGCATGTTGCCCCTTTAAATTTTATTTATGTTGCACGTTGGCTGTTAAAAAATATTATTTTTCTACACATTGCCCCTTTAAAATGTGATTTTTGTTGTATGATGCCCATAAAAAAATGGCTTTTGGAGCAAAGTGCAACAAAAAGAATATTTCGAAGGAGGATTATCCATTTCTTTGAACTTTTAGGTGGAGAATTACAAAAATGAAAAATTTATAGAGTGGTGTATTTTAGCCTTATCATTATGCATTAAAAAATTGTAACAAAAGTATGTAGATATAAAATAATTATTTGAGTTTTGTCTGACTATTTGTTGAATATAATCGAATTAAAATAAATATTTACAATCGAGCTCGAGCTAGAAGTCTTATGGAATGAAACAATATCTGGGTCAATTTTCAGTACACCCCTAAAATCTATTTTTTTAACAAATCAGACAACTCTTATTTTCACAATTAAAATGCTTTACTTGTTATTAATCAAAATATTTTAACTTCACTATTTTTATGAAGAATATAATTTAAAAAATACTTTTAAATTGAGTATCTGATAATTTGATTTATTTTCAGTGCACAATACATAAATGGCTATGATTTTAAATAAATTGTTCAGCATAAATAATATATAAACTATTGTCTGCAGAAACCAATTTAAGGAAAAGTGTTAAGATATTATAATTATTTAGACCAGAATATCTCAAAGTTTGTTGAATTAATAGTTAGGTAATTATCCAAAAAAAAAAAAAGAATTAATAGTTTGGTAGCTAGTTTCGTAGTGATTACTGTTTCACAAAATATGAATGGTTCTAATTGTTCTTTTTTTTTTCTTTTTTTTTCTTTGTAATAAAGGAACCGTGCGCAGCCAACTAATAAACCGTGTGCAGCCAACCAATAGGTGCACTGAAAAGACCTACATTCTTGTAAAATAGCTTGAATTGAAAATTCAATAGTCAACTTTTAGCAACGAGTAATCTAAAATGAACGAGCATATACTAAAGTTGATCACTAAAAGTAAAACTGACTGTAATTAAATTAAGGAAAAAATAACAAATGATCCTTAGTTGTTGACAAAATTATAAGGACAAGGGTACTTGAAATATTTGTCTTAGCTAAAAGTCCATAGGAAAACAATTTCATTTGTTACAAATACATTGAATTGATGTACCGTTTCTATCTTACCCTTGATTTCATTTTGTTACATTGAATCTTGATGATTCAATGTCGTTTAGGGCTAGAAAAAATGTTTTTTTCTACCTTAGTTCATCGATTTTTTTTCAAAAGCACAGATATGTTTTATAAAGTGTAGAGATCCTTCGAGTACTTTTAACATGTGTTTGTGTTTCTAGGTAATACGATTTCATTTATGTATCTATCAACGTTGTATACTTATAAGCTTCATAAATTATTTTTACTCTTGATTGTTTTGGTTAACATAAATAATCTGGTATACAATGTTGATTTGTTGCCTTTAGTTCTGCATTTTATTCGGTTGTGTATTATTATGTGTTTTCGAAATTTAATCTTTGTAGAAGAAGTTGATGATAATAAATGACAACAAACACGATAAAAAGATACAACAAACTTCAGAAAATTGGTTGAAAGTTGGTACTGTATTTTTTATTTGAAAATTTAGTATCTTAATAAAATACGACAATAAACTTTAAAAAAATAGTTGAAAATCGGTAGCGAACTTCTGAAATGGAGTATTTTAACAAAATACGACAATAACTCTAAAATATTACTAAAAAATTAGGAGATTTCCCATATTTATAGTGAAGTTATGGAAATTTGGTTGAAATTGGCAAATTTATGAAAATCAACTAAAAAATGGAAGAAATTTATGATAATTTGACAAACGAATGTTGGTGAACTTTTGAAAATTAACAATAGACTTCGATTTTAAACTTACGATGATAAATTGAAGGTACATGGTGTGTTACGCATTATTCGTTGATGGGCGCGGACATCGTTCACATATGTAGTCACGATATTCTCATGATTTTTAACTGTTAAATTGTGGTTTTAATTATTGGATTAATACATAATCTACTAGAGGTTAAAGTACATGAATTATGCACTTGGATGCAGTTGTGCACATGAGGAGTATGTGTATGGTATAATCAGCTAATCTTATGTTAATGTTAAGAATCAATCGTGATTATAATTCACATGTGCAATAAAAAAAGAGAATATTTTTCATAAAAATGACGAAGGAAAGAGTTGGATAATTGCCCTTAAAGTTATTACACATCAAAGGAAGTATTTAAAATCTAAAAAAATATTCAAAGAAAAAAAAAAAAACCAATGAGAAAATTGACTTGGGCAGAAGCGAGTCTACAGAATCTAACTAGATACGAAATTTGTAAATTAGCCACCTAAAAACACGGTGTTGACAGACCGACAGGGGGTCCCGCCACGTGGCTGAAGGCCACCAAATTAGAGATTCTAGAATCATCCAGGTGGCTAATTTCCTACGGTAAAACAAAAACAAAATGAATAACTTTTGCTTAAAGATTCAAACTGCTCTGGTTGGAGAATTTCGGACCTCAAATTATTCTCTGGTCAGAGTTCTTACAAACCCCATTTCAAAGATTCTTTCTTTTTTCTCTTTCTTTTGTTCCAAATTTCCATCCAAACACACTTTCCCCCTTTTCTTTAAATTCCGTTGTGTATTTGAACACCATTTTCGTCCAAGTTCATATCTGAATTCTCTCATCTCTGAACCCAAAGATCCAATTTTTATTCGAACCCAACTTCTATTTCTTGCTTTTCTTTCGTGGGCTTCTCTCATTTTCTCGAAATTCAAAAAAAAAAAAAAAAAAGAAATCAGAATACGGATTATTTTTGCATACGCGCGCGCGTGGAAAGATGGTGGGAACGGTGTCTGTAGTGGGTTCGTCGTTGGTTGATTCGAAGGCATGTTCGAGCGGGGATTTGGGTTTGCAGAGGAGGCGTAATTATTCAAATGGTAAGAAGCGTGTTCCTCGTATAGGGTCTTCTTCATTGGAGCTGAGAAGCTCGTTTCTTGATTATTCTTCCATGAAAATTCTGTCTGGTTCCAAGAATTTGAGGACTCAACAGAGGAAAAATAGGAGTCTTGTGGTTGTTGATGAACTTGCCGGACAGTATGAAGATAATTTTGATGATGTCAAAACTGTAAGAAATTAAATCCTCTTTGTTTTTTTTTTTTTTTTTGGTTCATACTAAATAATTCTCTTCGATATGACAGAATTTCTTGAAAATTGTTTATTTATAGGAAATTAATGCTGTCACGTGGTAAAGTTAAATTAAAAAAACAATCTTTATTTTTGGGTAATTACAATCATCTATGAATTTTTTTGGCGGCCTTAGTCTTATGGTGGCCTTAGTCTTCAAATTTAGTAGAATCTTTTAATTTATGAACAATATTCTCCAATTTGTATCCGTTTTACACTATTCGACTCCATATTTTGAAATAAGATGATTATAAGATGTGTCTCTTGATTTGTGAATATCAGATCGGATCCTGGTGCATTAGATCGGATCGTGGTGCATCTGAAACTGCACTTTTGTACAAAATGAGTACAAACTAGAGTACATTCCATATAATCTAGAATCTAATCTAGAAGATTATAATTTGACACCCTTAGGGTTAGGGTGGACGTGTAAGAAGATTCATGGTTGAGGAGTGGTTATAATTACCCAAATAGGAGGTGGTTTTCTGTAATTTGACCTTACCTCATGGAATGGCCGTAATTTACCCTTATTTATATTTTCTCTGGGATAAATTAAAAGAGGGTGTTTTGGAGATAAATTAAAAGAGGGTGTTTTAATTAGGCCTAAAATGCTTATAGTATAGTTACAAAAACGATAACACAATGAACTTCACATGCAGGTTCGAATAGTTTCGTAATTTTATCAATGTCCGTTTTTATTGTATTCAATGACTACATTTACAATTGAGAATTCACCAGGTCGATATTTGTTATTAATCTGCTATTATATTAGTTGGTTTTGATGAAATTCAACTTTGGTGCAGCAAATTCTCAACTATTTCACGTACAAGGCTGTTAGAACGGTGTTGAACCAGCTCTACGAGATGAACCCTCCACAGTACAGATGGTTGTATGAGTAAGTCCGTCAAATTTATCTTCGTTTATCTCTGTGCATTTCCGGCCTTGCAGTATCGTATTCGTAGATACTAACTCAATTGATGTATGCTCGTTTTATTTTGGTTGACTTTTCAAGTTTTGGTAATGTATTCATAATTCTTACTGAATCCCGCAGTTACGTCGCGACAAATGATCGTGGTTATGGGAAGCGCTTTATAAGCGAACTCGGTAAGGAGAGTCAAGAACTCGCTGAAAGAGTAATGGTGACTCGTCTTCACCTCTACGGAAAATGGATTAAGGTATGAGAACTCTACAGTGTCATTCTTTTTGGTTTGTGTTGTTTTCCTCTTTCACTAAATCGAGATCTTCATCGTATTTAATTGTGTTTTTTTCTTTCTAATAGAAATGTGATCACACGGAGATGTACGAAAGGATATCCGATCAGAATTTGGAGCTGATGCGTGAACGGCTTATCGAGACTGTGATCTGGCCATCTCCGGACGACTCAAACACGAACATGGATGGATTTTAAAAATAGAAAAGACAAATATTAAATTGCATTTATTAGAGTTAGGAAGATGTTCTGTAATTTCTTTGATGCATTTAATCTGTTGTATACTTACACATGTTGTATCTATAGTTTAGGTAGAGCACTTTAGATTATGGGGTAATGTTATCCACTAGTAAACAGTATTAGTTCAATATGCTTTTAGCCTTGTAGTACACTGCCTCCATTTTCTCAATTTCATCAACTGTTATTATAAGAATTTAATATCACATAGATTGCGTAAATCGAAATGAAAAATTTAACTCAAAATACGGCGATAAATAAAAAAATCTAGCTAAGACCCTCTCCGGCAAAGCTACTAAAATCTCGGTTCCATTATAAAAGGTTCGAAAGATCTCGAAAAGGAGGAACCGAATATGGTGCAAATTATGCAGAAACGGACATAAAATTCTACGAGAGCAAATGAATCCCCCGTGCGCAGGTCTACCATAAGCCGAGGAACTTCCACCACGCACCTCCGACTCCAAGCCAGATCACAAGATTGACGATGGAGATCAAAAACCCGTAGCCCCACCATTTAGCGAGAGGAACATAACCCGCACCGTAAAAAACGGGTGCAGATCCAATCCCGTAATGGGTAATTCCGCCCATGAGATTGGAAAGGAAGGCTAGGACCACTGCACCGAGGTACGGTGGTGTGCCTAAAGCACTGGCTACAGATAAGAATGCTGTGAACATAGCGCCGATGTGAGCTGCTCCGCTGGCGAAGAAATAGTGGGAATAGAAGTAGAGAAGAACGAGAATGCCGAAAGATAGCTGCCATGAAAGACCTAATCCACCCACAAACTGCAAGAAAATCAAAATTAAAATTAAAGACTCAGTAAAAGAAATGAAACCGGGCAGTGAAAAGTACAAGACACAGAAACGAGTACCAAACAAATTGAGCATCTATTTCTAAATCCTAGGTCGAGGGAGTCGAAGCTATAGCTATTGGGATACTGGGATACGAGGTCTCATATTTAAACTCTTATTACCTAAATGATTCTGATTGAATCCGGATTCTAGGCATGCTATTAAGTCTAATCCTCTTGTAAATTGCTCGACCCGACCGAATTAAGTGAAAATTCCAGATGTGGTAATAAGAATTTATCTATATCGAGCATAAAGTATAGAAAGAATGCACACCTTAACAACACTCTGGCTGAACCAGGTAATGAGACCGTATTTATTAAGATAACCAGCCATTGCAATGAGTGCAGCAAACCAAGTAAGAGTGTCCCAAGCAACTGATTCAGCTAGGCATTCCTTCCAAGTGACGACCCCAGTTATAAGTAGGACCGATAAACCGAGAATTGCTGCCGTGACTGCGTCCACACTCAAGGCGCTTCCGAAAATCCAGAGCCCGACCTGATATTTGCAGCAAGAAAAATCAGGACGAAACCATTTTGCTCGGAAAATATATAAATAAACAAGCACGGTTGTCAGTGAAATAAGACGAATCGGGGTATACTCATTTTCAATTAAATTGAATGGGAAGTTTCCTCGGTATTTAATCACCCATGCAATTCCTCTTAACTGAGTAAATGACTAAACGGAGAAGCATTTGTTTTTTCTTGACCCAACCACCTAATTGATAGCCTCGGAAAACAAAGTATCGGCTTCCAAAGACTATACTTAGAGACCGTATCATAGTAAACTACTTCATTTCAGTTAAAAAATCTAGTGCCCGATGACTTGAATCGCGTAAAATCGAGTTGAAATTCTTTCCAAGTATCAAGAATGTTTCACATTCAATCAATATAAACTTTAAAGGGCTGGCCAAGAAAGTCTAACATATTTGTACCACCATAACTATATGCATAACTCTTTAGCAACGAACACCAAAAATTAAAGAAAACAGTATTAATGCAGAAGCACCAAAGTATCAACAAAACCCGTAATCGAGGTGCGAGAGTATTGAATTTCTATACCGTGAGAAGCAAAGTTCCTGCCATAATGATTTCATTCTTCGACATGGGCCCCATCTTCGCCAGCTTCTCCTTAGCAAGCTTAGGGGCATCGGGGCTACTCTTAACTGTCGGCGGATAGATTATATACAACAACAACGGCACAACAATCAACGACACCAATCCAGGCACGATCGCAGCCTTAGCCCAATCCATCCATCCAATGGTCATATTTATGGTACTCGCGGTTAAGTTAGCAGCCAACGGATTGGCAGCCATAGCCGTCAAAAACATCGAAGACGAAATAACAGACGTTTGGAAACACGTAAGCATCAGCCACGAACCCAATTTCTCCTCTGTTCCATCACCCACATTACTACCGCAAGCCACACAGAGCGATTTAACCAACGGCAAGAAAATCCCACCGGCTCGTGCGGAAACCGAGGGAATCGCGGGGGCTAATAGGGCTTCACTGAAAACCAAACTGTATCCTAACCCTAGAGACGAGCTCCCGAATAAGGAGACGAACTGATAGGCGATTCGGTTCCCTAATCCGGTTTTGATAAACCCTCGAGCGAAGAAGAATGCAAGTGCAATCAACCATGGAATCGGATCTCCGAAGGCGGAGAATGCAGCTGCAAATGTAAGGGTTTTGGTTAGGACACACGCGCCGAGGCCCATCAATGCGACGGCGCCCAAGGGCAAGGGTTGGGTGATGATTCCGACTATGGTTGCTAAGAAAATCGAGAGCAGTTGCCACGCGATGCGGGAGACGCCGTTAGGTGCTGGGATAAACCAGAGAATAACTCCGACTGCGATGGAAGCTACGAGCGGCTTGATCGCGGCCCCCTGCCATGGCTGTGGGGGAGGCGGAGATACAGCCGGCGAGGAGGAGGCGGAGGCGACTTTTGTGGCTGCTCGCTTCGGGGCGGGAAGGAAGACGGAGGGTTTGGGTTCGGTGAATTGGAATTGGAATTGATCTTCGCCGAGTGGATCGTTGGAATTGGTGACGCTGCTCTTGATGGGAGATTTGAATCTAGGAGTGAGGCGGAGGGATTTGGGGGCGGCGAGTGGCCGGAAATTTGGGGTGGAGAGGGGGCGGCAGCGGAGGTTGAGGGAAGAAGTGAGTGCTAACGACGCCATTTCAATCGATGGCGTTTTCCGGCGATGGAGATCTGAAAGCTTATATCAATGCGTAAATGGTTGTGAAGGAATTTCTTTTAAATAATTTTTTTCTTTGGAAATGGTGGAGAGTGAGTGGGATGGAGGTGTGTGTGTACTGAAGAGAGAGAGAGAGAGAGAGAGAGAGAAGAGAGAGAGAGAGATGGAGCGTCGGATTAGGATCTAAGGGTGGGTGTGGGGGGATGGAATATACGGTGAGGTTGGAGGTTTTTCAGGGGTTTCTTCGGAAACTCCGTCTGAGATTTTGCTAACTCCGCCGCTGGTTTTCCGTCTTCTTCATGTGCTAACGTGCGCACCTCCTCACGCTTGACATGTCAGCAGCATATACTCCACGTGGATCTTCTTGGGTTGGTGGGTGGGACTGCCTCTTTTAATAATACATTAAAAAAATACGAAAAAAGACAAGGTGAAACTAAACTATTGGAAATGGTCCCGCCGCCTAGACCCTAGTTGTTCGATTAAGAAAACGTAAAATAAATGAATCTCTGTTTTCTTGCTTATTCAATGCATTTATTTATTATGATTTTTTTTTATTTTTAAAAACTATGGAAGAAGCTGACTTTATTAAAAGAATTATATGCTACACTAAATAAATTGAAATAAACGTATTAGTGATACTAACTATTAGGTTCCTTGACCATACACATGGTGATGTATATCCGCCATATCGGTGGCAGGCATAAATAAACCTTTACGATATTTGTGTGGCGGTTTTGAAAATCGGTTTTTTGACGGTGAGGCGGTCCGAGGCGGTTTGTGGCGGTCTGTGGCGGGTCAAACCGATATATCGGGTCAAACTTCGAGCGATATATTGGAAAAATATTTTTATTTTATTTTATTTATTTATTTTTTATTACAAAAAAAATAGGGCGTTTATCTTTTTTTTTTTTTTTTTTTCAATTCCAACTCATTATCTCTTTCAATCAAACCCGAACTCACCGACTCCGTAAGAAGAACCTGGCCTAAAAATAAAAAAAAACATTTAGAACGATGAGGAGAGAATCAAGTTCTAAATGTTAAACTTTTGTTATGTGATTAGATTATATAAACGATGAGGAGATAATCAAGTTTAATTTTTTTATACGTTTCAAGTATTAACAAATAATATTTAGAAATATATTACACTAAATCTAAAAACAGATTTATTTCCGATATATCTCCGATTAATCACCGCCGCACCGATTTATCGTGTGGCGGTCCCTAACCGCCTCGGACCCGATAACCGATATTTAGAACCTTGGTATTTACTCCTACCATGTGTGCATTAGTTGAAAGTTCAATAAGATCACAATAAAAACTAATTAAAAGTACACATGTAAATCTAAGCATTAAACGCTGGGGCCCATAGGAAGTGCACGTTGACAATGATGATATACGTGGTAAGTGGGCCCACACAATTGACATGTAAGCCAAGAAAGGAAAAAATGCTGCCGGTCTTTTCTGTGCTTTATCATAGGGCCCAAAAGCCCAATTAATTAGCAATGTTTGGAAAGGCTTTGCCGATATTTTTAACATCCATGATAGTACTTAATTATGGCCCAAGCCGAATTTATTGAGAAACACTTGTTCGTTCAAAAACAATATTTTATGCGAGTCCGCAAATATTTAAGCAAAGACAAAAAAACAATTGTAGCACGAAAAGGGGAACGTGGACACGGTGAAACAGCGAAATAGATACTGGAAAACTCCGTTTTTCAAAGAGTTGGATATGAGAATGTGGTATAAAAAAATCTAAGGGTAAATTCATAATTTGTGGAAATATTATATAGTTATCGACAATTACATATTTGTATCTACAAATTATATATAACTTACAAGTTCCGACATGTGTCATGAAGTTTCGGTTTTCGAAACGTGGAAACGTATGTGAGTAGAAGTTTCCATGCTTCATTGACAAAAGTAGATTTAAATATAATAAAACACAATTTCAGTTTTTGTAGGTTAAACCCGATTTTATTCGATTGAACTCCATTTTTTATCTGATCAAACTAAATCCAATCCGATCTTTTACTTGGTTAATCCAATTTTTTGATACTTCACCTGGATTTATTTATTCGGTTTGTATACATTTAATCAAAAGGAATAGTGATTTGGATTACAATTCAACCGGTCGGACTGACCGGTCAGATAAGATTCTGAAAGCATTGTAGCATGTAAGTTTAAAGTGTTTTAAAATAAACAAGAAAAATACAACTAATCTTTTTATCTATTTGTTTATTTGAAATTTTGTGGTTTAATTACATCAGATATGCATATTGTTGAGATCATAAACACGCTAAATTTACGTAATCATCATAATTAAAGGTACAATTAACATATATCACTGTCAAATTAAGACTTCCATAAAGTGGGAACCATACAGAATAAATGTCACATATGTTTAATTTGTTATTTCATGACTAAATTAAAGAATTCTTCACGTGAAATGATTTTGAAAAAGCACTCACTAGGCTTCCAATTTGTGATCTTTTTTCTCTAACTTCACACACACACACACACACCATTATAAGAAAAAATGACATTAATGATACCTTAATTGTGACAATTTCAAAATTTGTCACTAAATACATATATTAAGTGACAATATTTTATATGTTGGTCACTAGCTAATAGTTATTTTGATGTCACTCATTTTTTTTATTGTCACTGTATAGAATTAGTAATACCTCATTAGTGACAAATTAGTAACAATATTTTTTTACCTAACTGTACGAAAATATGTGTTATCAATCAAAATATTATTTTTTATAGCGCGCACACGCATAAACGTGTATGTGTTTGTATATAAGAGGAATCAAAATTCCAAAATGTTAAATATATGAGGAATCAAAAGTCCGGTATTAGATAAAACTTGTGAGGATTAAATTTTTAAAAGCATGGACAATAATTGATACATAGTTACAATAAAGAAGGAGTTTGTTATGAGAACTTATTAGTGACAAAATAGAGGAAGTTGTCACCATGTGGCCGGGTGTGCTAATCTCATGTTTTCAAGCAAGTACTATCTGATTTGCTCGTATGAGTATAGCTCAACTGGTTCCGGGATGGTAAATTGGTGCAAGGTTAATTCTATAATCGAGTATTAACACCCACAATGTTGAAATTTCAGCTCTACTGGGAGTTGATTTCTTGTCAACACCAGACTCAGTTCCGTTATCCTAACGGGCTATTGAGTCACCATGATTTATATTCCTCCATAAAAAAAATTATCGAGTTGGATTTCGCCATTTAATACAAACACATTATAATATGATAATAATTTAAATACTAAATAAAACGAAGCGATCCTAATTACCAAGCACTCATGATTATGTGTCATTAGAATATTAACCAAATTGCCATCTTTGGAAATGGGAAAACCAAAAAAGTTACTATGATTATAAAGACCCTACTACATAGGTTAACCAATAATTAATGTTACAATTAGCAAGTCCAAATCTACAATAAGAGCATGCTGACTTTAATTCTACTTTTTCTTTTGATGGTTTTAAATATACTAATTCAATTAAGTGGACATATCACCTAAGTGATTAAACCCCATTACAAGGAAAAATCATTTTCCATTCCCCATAAATATGATGGCTATCAATGAATTCATTCATCACAATTAACATAACCACTTAACTAGGGAGTGACAAATATTCTTCTAGAACAAATTACATTCTAAGATATTAAATTCTGATTTTCTTTTCTTTTTTTAATGTCTACTACATCTGTTCCACAATATCTGTCTCTTTTGAGGATTTTTTTGTCTCATATTATCTATCACTTTACAATTCCAATGCTGCATTACATTAGTTACATATTTTTCAGTTATACCCTTGTTAACTCTCAAATACTATTTCTGCATCAATTAGTGAACAAATGTATTTTGGTCTATCAATATCAATTTTCTTAAAATCAAAACATTTTTATTGAGAATTTTTAAACTTGTGCCTAAGTGAAAAACGACACCTAATTTTACATGAAAGTAAATATACGTTGTGAGAGTGACAAGAGAGAAGAAAAAACAAATTCCACTACATAATCATCAATATTCATAATTACAAGATATAAGCCCACTAGTTAAGGCTTTATTAATTAACCCTTTGACATTTTATTAACACAATTGAGTACAAATTTCTCTAACTATAATATAACCCTCGTGACTTTTATGCCTGCCGACATATCTATTCACACATCTCTTATCAAAGTATGATTATGATACGAACCCTAGCTACTTGGAATAACGAAAAATCACTAGAACTACACTTTTACTTCGTCTCATCATATTAAGTAAAACTCGAATATCTTCGAATTTAAAAAAAAAAAAAAAAAATCCACAAATTTATACAAAGAAGACCATGAATTTTGGCACTTGTTTCTCTCCTTTATGTCTCATTTCAATAAGAAAGAGTTTTGAAAAAATAGGGGTATATATATGTATATAGGAAGAGAGAGAAGGTGTATGTATATATGTATGTATGTATGGTAGGGTTAAAGGTTAGTCAACTTGGAAGTCAAGGAGGGGGAAGGAAGCAACATCTTTCATTAATTCCTCAAAATCCCATTCCCCCACTCTTACTTCTTCTCCTCCTTCCCAATAGCCCCCAAACCCTAATTCCCCATTCTCCACTTTGATGTTACTAATGTTGTTACTATAATTATTACCACCACCACTAATTATTCCGATTTTCGAGTTTTCTTCCTCCTTGATCATATTTGTGCTCTCTAGCGGTGGAATGTTGAAGATCAAATCACGACCTTCCATTCGCACAACGCGATCGCCATCAAACACCGCCGCGGCCCCATTGTTCTGATTATCATCGTCGTACACGATTCTTGATTGCGCAACGCAGGGTTGTACGTTGAAGTACAAACCCTCGTTCGGCGTGTAGTTTAGATTCTGGTGATCGATTAGGGTACTATTAGGAAAGGGATCAATATTGATCATGGACGTAGTCATTAAGGGATGATGCATGGTTGACAACGAGGATGAGGACGAGGATGTAATTAGGTTATTATTAGCTGAGGTGGAGGAAGACGAGTGGTCGTCCATCATGAACATGCCCATGAGGATGTCATGGTCATGCATGGTCATGACATGATTATAATCATCTCCCATGGCATGATGATGGTCGATCATGAGTTCTAAAGATGAATCGTCGCTCATGTTTGGAGACCTCGTCGAAGAATTAGATGTGTTGTTCTTGAGCCTTTTCTTTATTGTTGAGTTCCAAAAGTTCTTTATTTCGTTATCGGTTCGCCCAGGCAAACGTGCAGCAATTTGAGACCACCTGTCAATGATGACAAGAAATTACGAAATAAATATTAAACGATGCTTTGTAATTTACATGGTTGACAGATTACTACAACAACCTTGATAAATTAATAATCTCGTTTAATTAATAATTTTTTCTGGTCCCAATTTGAGGAAAGCGTAACGTCTGGAAAAAATTACTGCTAAATTGATATTTCACTAAATTAATAGAATTTGATTGGTCCCGGCTGTAATAACACACATTGATACGTATGGTGCGAGCCATAAAAGTTAAACTCTTTTAATTTATGGCACTGCATTATATTGGTGTTATATGTTTTATATAAATTGTTTCTCAAATTACGACAGATTTATTTAGAGCTAGATAACATATCTATAAATCTCAAAAGCGAACGTTTGTTTTGTGTCTTCAACCCTCAATAAAAATATTTAATAATATTTTCATAATAAAAATATGTAATAATATTAATTTTGAGGACACAAACACAAGAATTATTCATATTTTCTTTAAAACATTGTATATATATAATTATGAGAATAAATTAAATCAACTGATATAATTATATATATTTTTTTATATAGTCACTAGATAGTGTATTAGTTAGTGCAGCCCGAAGCACAAAGGTAGTTAGGAAGTTGATTACTTAATTGACAAAACTGACGAGTTATGATGATTAACTTAATTACCATGAATTAGTTAATTAGTAATTGGTCCCCATGCATGTGATGTGATTTTGAAGTTTTATTTCGATTAATTAACCAACTTACAATCAACCTACTATCTAAATTAAATTATATATATTGCTGTCACTAGTGTGGTTGTATCATGTATCAATTGTAATTGCACGTAGACAAGAATTAGTGCGTTTTATATATATGACTTGTATGTATGCACTCGTTATCATTTAATTGTAATTTGTACGCTAAGTTTTATAAATTCACTAATTCTTTATTTTGAAATTTTATTTTTGTATTGCACGTCATGTTACATGTACGTGTGCATGTAAATATTGACCGATGTATACATATCTAACTTATGCATTCATATATGCATATATATAGAGAGACACACACATATTTGAGTCGAATTATTTATGAAGTAAAATATGAGATGTATAGATCTATATACAAATATGAAAGAATATATACAACTCGATAAAGTTCATCGGATGTAACACAAAAATAAAAAAAATTAAACTACCATTTCACATAACTTAAAAGGCTATTGTTTAATGTATGTGCACACATTTATATTTTAGTTTTAATATATTGATATAAATAAGTAGGCATATATATATATGTGGGAGTTAGATGTTATACCTGATATATTGTGACAAGTATATATACATTTAAGATTTTGTTGCTAATAATATAAGGAGACCTGTTGCCAAGAAAAAGAATGGGAGGTGGACAATGAGTTCTTCTTTCTGGGGGAGAAAAGGCGCTGCGTTTGAGACCGGGGCGGAGATAATTTGATCCAGCGGGAGGCGGCAGCTCTTGCCGCAGCGGTGGAGGCCGGC